GACCAAGCAAAGTGCAATTGGCAGTGGCAATTGTAAGATCATTCTGTGTTCATGTTCTTCATTGCTATTGTGTGTTGCTTGGTTCTTTTCCTCCCAAATATATCCAATTGCCTTCACTTTTGCGAATGCAAAAGTCCTGGAAGAGAAGCAGCAGCTAGTCCAGCTCTAAATGAGAGATTAATGAGCTTCCTTGAGGACAAAGGTGACACATCATCAGCATGATATCTGGGTTTGAGCCAATGTGGTTGCATTTGAGGGGTAACGAATGGACAAGGAAACATTACCACATTTGAAGTGAAACATAGCCTTACAATGTGTTACGGCTTATATCAAGAATGACAAAGTTATGAAAGTATAATTTAGCAACATTTTTGCAATATGCAACAAAGGAACATGGAGGCCATGATCACAGCATTCAGTCAACTCGCCCATGTTCATTTTCCCTATTATCTCGTCCACCGATGCCACAATGAGGAAAATGTGCATTTATGGAGCTAATGTGTGACACAGACATCACAGGTTTAAGGGCAAGGTGTCAAAACTCCAATGGTAATCATTGAACAGACTAAAAACTTTCCCAAGCCCCTCTTGTGCAGATTTTGAAATGGTGATGTCTGTCTGTATGGGAAAGAGGATTGTTTCGATCCAGAGGGACGTGGGAGTAAAAGCCACTGATTTTGGTGCTTCTTGTTCATGTGTGTTCTTCCGAGAATATCCTTTAATTTCACACTTGCAACTGTCAGCGAAATTCATGAGGCTAGATTGCATGATCCCAGATACGATTCGGTGAAGACAGTTATGACATATACCATGGAAAGGAGGCAGCGACATGCATCTATTTCTGGAGAATCTCCCCTATTCGCCACATGAACAGGAAGCATGACAAAACTTTAACCACTTCATGGACACACGGTGCTTATGTCATTTAGTTCGTGTCAACATATGCAACTAATCACACAAATGATGCTAGTTCTAAACACATTGTGAGATTTTATGTTGCCATATCCGACTACATTTGCTATATCGACAAGCACTGCCCTTGTTTCTTTATTGATGACAGATGATGAGGAGCGCTGCTTCGGAACCACACATAGGCCTGAATGCTACTTCCTAATCTGCGCCTGGAACAAAGGTAAAAAAGAAATAAAAGGGAGAGAAGAGGGACATGATAGTGTCATGCACAGCATCGCCTTCCCCAATGTGAAATCTCAATGGAGCCCAGAGAAATTCTCGTTCAATTTAAAGATTGCAGAATACAGCAAGGGAGTAGCTGCCAGAGATGCGTGCATGCTCTAGTGAGTCACTAGTAGTGACTTCAATGTGCATTGATGCAGTGCTTGGATGAGTAGGTTGTCTTGTGCCATTGACGTGTGGCGTCATGCCGCGACGTCCCTTCCCTCCTTTTCTCCATCTGCTCTGCCCAGTTAGTTCCCTGGACTGTCTTGTGGTTCTTCACGCAGCTGCATGGTGTTTAGCATTGGCAGCTTTGACATATCTTCCGTGTGGGACGCAATGCGAAGTTTGCCCCCTATGCTGGACCTGCGACACCAAAGATTGTTTTCTGGTTGAAGCAAATAACATCACACGATTGGCCGCACCCTCCTAACCATCGCCCAAAATGTTGAAATACACCTATAGAATTATCCAATAGATACAGCATACAGATGCAATGCATGTATCTGCGGACATGTATCCATATTGTAAAAATAGGCAATTGCCAATAACAATATTACACAAATTGCCTAATGTAACACTGTTTGCTCGTAGTATTTGCCCAATAGAATAACATTGATGCTTTGCAGTGCATTGATATTGCAGCAACATCAACCAATATTACTGCTTGTTTACAGCGTGGAAAATCATAATGCCATGTCAGGCGTCGCGTATTCAGCTTCTTGGGTTATCAAACAGGAAATTTTCTGTTGTTCACCACTTGCTATGTGGGCAGCTTGCGACTGTGCAAAATATGGTAGAAATCTATGAGTGCCTTGGAAACTGCCAGCTGAGAGTTGCATCCGAAGCTTGCTCTTCCAGCACAAGGAGCCATGTTACACAATGGGCACTTCCCTCCTCAGCAAAAATTGTCAAGCGAGCCTATGGCAATGATGCCAACGGCCAAGAGCACAACAGAGATGGGAACACACAGCACGGAGCAGCACGACTAGAAGGAAAGCGCCCATTCAAGGGAACAAATGAGGAGTGCAGCAATTGGCACAGTGAACACAGTGTTTAGTAAGACCTGTACACCGTCCCAGTTGAGGCCCCTTGAAACTCCTCTGCCTCCATGGCTTCGGCCATCTTGATGGCCTGCACCCAACATTCAAACCATTACAGTGCTAATGTGAGCATATGATGCAAGGGAATTCGGTGCTGTCAAGTTCTGCCACTTCCCGACCAACACTAAGCATACAATGTGCTCACCAGCAGTACTACAAAGCGCAGCGGTTGGCCATGCAGAGCACCACCATTTACTGCAACAATTGTTCCTCCTGGACTTGAGGCCAGTAGCACAATGAGGCACTCCACAACTCTTCTTAGGTAAATACTTCAGTGCCAGCAACAGCACAGGTTCATAGCACAGAACTTTGTTTAAAGTACTTCGCCAATATTGGCAACAACACCTTAGTGGGTGTATTTTGGACTGGCAACAGGGCTACTGTTCTTGCACCTCCGATCCTGCCACCACCAACTTGCACACATCATTCCTATTCTGCCAAGCGACCAGCTCCAAAAATTTGCTTCCAAATCTGGCATGCATTAAACGTCCCCTGATGCAACGGTGGTTGGAATCTGTCACATAGAGCCATACCAGCGTTTCTACATATCAGTCATATGCTAACATTATATATTTTTTACAGTACATATACGTTTAAACATAAAACACAGATGCACTTTCCACCAACTGCTTCCAGGAGTTGGAAATGGTGGTGGGCACAAACAAAGTGTTTCCACATTAGCATTCTGTTCAGGCCCACATTCCAATATAAATTCATCCACAAGTTTGCATTCTCATTACGAATACCCAGAGACTTTGTGCACAATTGTGTTCCCATTTCAAACCAATCAAACAAATACCACCTATTTTCGTTTCCTGAGCTCCCGCATACACCCAACCAACCCTGTGTCCTGGTGCATGGGTTGGAGACCCAGGAATGGTGGGTGCAGCATTGGATTCTCATTTCATTGGATGCTGTAGAAATGCAACGTCTGCCTGACCTCAGCATTCATATCTCCACGATTCAAACGTACGGCACACATTCATGTTCCTGTTGAATTGCCTGCACACACCACTGGTCGGAAATGGTGTTGCATACAAGTGTCTACCTGCTGAGATGTCACCTTCACGGCCACATTTTGCTCTAGATACTCTGCGATCTTCTTTACCGCCTTGTCTCTCATATCTGCAGATGCCACTGGTTTTGTCTTCCCCACTGAGGATCTCGCTGCAGTAGAAAATTGCATTCACACAATTCTGTTTAGTGCTGCAGGGTGTTAACATTCAAGGCACGGAGATTTGGGGCACTGCTGAGTAATGAACGACATTTGCACTACTTGTGACCACCTTTGTTACTTACAAGTAAGTATGTGTTACAAGCAAATACACAAGTGTGCAGACATTTACGAGTAATTAGACAAAATGTGGATTCTGTGGACCCACAGCCTGGACAGAATTTCCTTCCTGATTGGCATTGCTCTTGCTCACCACGCCACTCAAGTGAGTGTACGGCCGGCCACCAAATGGTGGCCATACAACCACTTTATGGACATAAAGCCCGACAGGCCACCTGCTCACGCTGCTGTCTAGTTGTGCATGGCAGCAAGGAGCGCCGAAACTTGCTGGCATCAGCAGCTTTGCATGAGTGTATAAACTGGTGAGCTGGTCGGGACAGGCGTGCGCAGGCCCTTAAGTGTTGCGTGATAAGAAAAGTGAATGCGAAGACCACACCACATCCAGCACCTTGTTCGCCACATTGGCAAAGAGTGTGTGCACACTGTGGCCATCAGGGAGTGTGGGGAGTGGCAGCCAGATGCGCCAGCATGGCCAGGGGACGACCTTTTGTTCGTCGATGTCGTCGATGAACTTTTCTAGGATAAGGTGAATGCTCCATTGGGGGAGGGGCGACGAGTGATCATGTGTCTGCGACTTCGTATAGCAGGGGTGTGTTGACGCTTTTATTGTGCATAAATATGTAAATATAAGCGATCTTAGAAAATGCATATTTGCGCACAATTATTTGCGTCAACGTAAATATAGTGCTGCAAATGTAAATAACGAGATTGCTTGTAATGCTAGAAATGGATGACGATGAACAATCAATTCTCAAAAGACTCAACTCCAGGAGTCTGAGGACCTCAGATGCCACAAATGATGGTCGTTTGGAACAGTTTTGATCCACAGCTCAACAGCGCCAACTTGATAGATAGATTGCCTGACAACTACCTCGCCGTCACAGAAAAGCTCATTTCGTACACACATTTTGCAAATGATGTTTAACTATCAATATCAATTCTGCTCTGCAATGAAAATGTGTTGATACTTAAGCATAATGTGCAGACAGTGGGACAAAACTTCAGATTGGATGGGATCTCCCAGTCACATCCATCCTGCTGTGTTACGGGAAACAGATGAACGAATGGGAGTAAACGAGTGGCTTGCTTCTCGTACTTTTTGCACTTTCCAGAATACTAGGTCACCTTTGGAATAGCAATGGATTTCGCACTGTGGGCTAGATGCAGTTCGCAGTTCCCAAGTTTTGGTTCTGAAGTTTGAGTTGGTCAAGTTTCAAAACAAGCACTTCAACTCTGCCCACAGATTGCACAATCTGTTCACATGAAGAGCAACGTGCTGTTTGAAAACACAGTCTCAATGTGTCAGATTGAATGGGATTGGACGTACCAGGGGCCGTCTGCATTCTTGACAACAACCTGTCGGTGGCACTGCCCTTTGACGAGGGCTCTGCAGCATAGAACGACTGCTCTGCACGCTCCATCCGTTCAAAGAACTTGGTATCTGATGTGCCGACCATCCTTGACTTCGACACGGATTGGGCAAATTCCTCACCTGGTATATTCAAAGAAAAAGGGCATGTCAAACGTGGCATAGTAAAGCGAATTTAGGATCGTCGGATCAACTGAAAAATGATTGGTGTGTCGCTTTTCATGTTGCTTGGTTGCGGACATGCATCAGAACATTCGAAAACTAGCAACTGAACCTAGTCCAAATCCCCTAAGCACAATGGGCATGCTGGCAATATTCTCAATAAAGAAAAACTTAAGATTATTAAATAATTCTCCAGGTGTTTAGAATATTGATGAGTATTATTTGAACATGTGGAATCTTTCTCAAAACATCAGAATTTTGGCGAAGGATTTGGCATCGAATTCTTGGCCACGACAAAGAGACCTAGATACATACTGCATGAATACAACTTAAACTACTAGTTCAGTATTGGCAGTAGTCAAAGCCAGCCATCGTACCACCCACACATGCAGAATCATTGAAGCCGGGCCGCCACAGTGCATGGCTACAGGAACACCCCATGATTTGGGGCGATACAGGCCCTTGTTATGGCGAGTCAGGGTGCCATGACTTGAGAGCAGACTTGCAGGGCCAGAGCATAGGTGGTACGTGCACCATGGAACTGCACGTTGCCTAGATATATAAGCGGTCATGTGGAAGTGCTGAAGGGTTACATGGAAACTTTATTGAAATGTGTTGGAAGGAGGTTTTTAGAATGCAAGCTGCACTCAGCAAACTTGTAAGGGCCAGAAATACTTGGCGTGGTGTGGCATCGCTGACTGAAGAACCTGAGTTTTAATGCTGCATCGAAACTGCCACAATGCAGCATTTTGGCAATTTGTCAACGCAGCACGGCAACTGCATATATATGTGTAACAGTAATCATCACCATGTAGGAAACGATTCTTCATGATGAATTGCTTTCAACCGACACTAGGCATTGAAGACAAGAGCATTGCTCTTTTATGTATTGCTGTTGCCAAGAAGCCATGATTTGTGCATCAACTGGTTATTAAGCAAGGCTAAGCCTCAGGTGTGAGTCTCATTGCATCAGTTCGGATGAATGACTAGTACCCTGATTTGCACAATAGGCCAAAACTGTTGATTATGCCATGGAAATGGCCACTGAAATTGACTCCCAGAAATGTTGCACCGCCAAAAATGTACAGAGTGGAAGGGAAGTTGTCCATTGACAGTTGGACACGCCTAATGTGCACGAAGCTGAGCTTTTGTACTCACCAGGCTCAGCAATGCGATCTTCGCTGCTCTGAGAGCATTGCAGCTCCATGTCTGCATGGTTTCCTACCATGTCCCCAGCATATCCATCCTCACTGCATATCAACAGACAGACTTCAGAGGCACAAAGCAATTCAGTTGCTTACTAACATTGTGAGGCTGAAAGAATAATTGATAAGTGATTGTGTCACATATGGAGATACATGGTGCAGTATGGCATGGTGAATATGGTGATGGTGTTACGGTGGCATGCACATGAAGAAATGAAAGGGGAATGGAACGAATGTTTCCGTGGGTACAATTACTTAACTGACACACTCATCCTGTAATGCATCTGGTTACGGTCTTGTTTCTTGTGCCTGAGAGCGACCGAGTGCGGAATGAGCATGCATGGTCAGCACGACAATCATAACCATGCTTCGTCTGAACGTTTACGTTTATGTTTTACGTTCATTTACGGTTTTACACGCAAAAATGCAAATTTGCAAAACGGGCTATTTTGTGATTATATTCACATATTTTTAATGGCTTGTCAGGACACCTTGGTCACATGATGAAATCGCAAACAACGATCAGCCCTCCACCTCCTCTAGCACATGCAACACATAGCCCACCTTGCCCTTAGCAAGGGCAAAGACACGGTCAAACAAAAGGCCGTTTTCTGCCCACTTCAGTGCATGTAGCTGCCACTCCCCAGATTCCTTGAGTATTTTTATGTATTTAGGTAGAGTGGATCGAAATTGTGTATTTTTTATGCATATCTATGTCCAAAAACGTAAGTACTTTTCTTACTCGTAAATGCAATGTGGCAGGCATGTTTGACTTTCGTGGTGGCAACACAGAAACACGGACTCACGTCTAAAACAATGCAAATGAATCAGCTTGAATACGTGAATAAGTACCAAGTGCAGTGCATGATGGAGCTTGCTTGTTGGGGGAGAAGAAAATGGAAGATAATATGCTGAATCGTGCCATAGTTTATCCCTGTAAATTGTTTGCTCCCAGAGAGCAAAGCAGAAGGGTTATGAATTTCCTGCTCCATATCAGCAAGGAAAAGGATAACCCCATTCATTCACATTTTCCATGTGGTTGTGTCCAGGTGATGGCTATCATAGCCATAATGGTGATGCTTGGTCTTTATGGCATAAACACTGGATGGTTATGTGTATGCACACCTTTATATCCCAGAGTGGCACCAGCGCATCTCAACAACTATCAATCAATCAACTTATCTACTAAGTAGTAGTGAATTAGCAAATATACGAATGCATTGCAGTCACCACATGATGATACCTACATGCTGTACATAAGCCACTGGTAACTGATATATCCACCAATACCCATTGTTTAAAGGCATATGTTAAATCTGACTCAACCTTTGCCATTTACATTGGCGGCGCCCCCATAATGGCCAGGTACGGTGGGCATGTGTACGGTCGCCAGCTAGAAACAACCGCCAAACCACAAGTCGTTTGGTGCCTAACATCGAGCGGCCAGTCGGGGGATGTGGGGCTGGTGCCAGCCAGCCACCACTCGCACAGAGCGCCCCATTGCATCTACAATGGCTGCTGCGGGGAACAATCAACAGCGCCAAGGGCCCCCAGGACCCAATGGTGGCTGCAAGCAATCTGGTATAAAACCCGCGTGCACGTGCACAGTGGGTGCAGGACCTTCAATAGCTGGGTGAGCTCGATCCCTGGGTGCTGTGCTGGCGCCCCCGGCAATCCGACATGCTCATGGCGGCCTTCACCCCTCCAAGGATACCTTCCACTACAACACACTAGCGTCTGCCCCCCCACCCCCCCACCCCCCTGGGGTCGATTGTATTGGGTTGTGAACACCTCCGGCCATTTGGTTACGAATGCCAATCCAACCCGCATCCCACCCAGCGATCTTCTACCCAAAATGCGGTGAGCCACCGCCTTTGGGGCTGCTGATCGGGTGGTGGGGTGGAGTGCCACCCCGGGGGGAGTGGCGTTTTTTATGGCATGGCTTCCCAGCTTCTGCGCACAGCACTTTGCCAGTTTGTCCAGCCGTGGCCTTGTCGGCCACATGCTTGTGACGATCTTGCACAACGCAGCATGTCGGCAGAGGTTTGTAGGGTCCCGATTCTGGGGATGGGACATGAGGCAGCAGTCTTCGCCCAATGGGGAACTCCTCCAAGTGGCCGCCAGACATTGGGCACCAGCGACTTAGGTGTTTGTGTGTGCACCTAGCTGGCGACCGTACACGCGCTCACTATATCGAGCCATTGTGCGAGCGCCACCAATGTAAATGGCAATGGTCGGGTCAGATTTAACGTGTGCCTTGTTTAAATATCACTTCAGCCCACTGCATTGCTATTAAATTGAGCCATTCATCAGAACTATTACCAATTCCAATTGTATCTTGTTCACTTACTTCTTGGTTTATTTTACCTATATTTTCACAGTACGACTTCACACCACCACACTATATATCATCACCTTTCATCATCCATTCGAGCCCACTGCCCTCCTTGCCGCCTCAAATTTGCATCAAAAGCAACTTCCCTGACACTATTGATCCGTGACTGGACTCCAGCCGGGTTTCTGCAGAAGTCGCAGCACCCGCCACAACGCGATGGCTGCAGCATTTCGTCAAAATGGGCCAGCAGTTTATGGCGCCGGCAGCACGGCGCCATGCAATAGTCTACCACCTTGCCAAAGGCTGCTTGGACACGGCTCTCCTCCGTGTGATCTGCACAAATGACTTACTGAAAATAATGGCAATAGCAACAACAGAAATTACAGTGAAAAGGATGATGATGATGAACTCCTTAATCACATAGCATTCACAAAAGTCCGACTCTGCTCCCAACAACACAAACGCGATGTCAACAGCCTGTGCCACTTTTTCGCAATGCAGGTCAGAAGCAAAATAAAGAGATGTCCATGTAGAGAGCGTCGGAAAAAAGTTTCATATCCTGGATATACATATCCAGGATATGGCCATATCCTAGGATATGGCCTCCATATCCTGGGATATGCTGGCCATATCCAGGATATGCATATCCAGGATATGGCCATATCCCTCCATATCCCTGGATATGGATGCCATATCCTGGATATGCATATCCGGGATATGGCCATATCCCAGGATATGGGCTCCCATATCCTGGGATATGGCCATATCCTCGCCCTTATCCTCGCCATATCCCGCGATATGGGAGCCCATATCCCAGGATATGGGCTGCCATATCCTGGGATATGGCCATATCCTCGCCCTTATCCTCACCATATCCTGCGATATGGGCGCCCATATCCAGGGATACGGGCCATAGGAAATGGCAGCGTGATGGGGGCGGACGGAATGCCAGCGATCGCCTTTGCAACGCTTGGCCAAAGCAAGGCCTTCCCAGTTGCGAAGGCCGTGGTTGCTGCGCAACTTGACTAGTCAACAGCACCGGCGCGGGCGCCCGTCACCAGTCCGAGTTACTCTTTCAATCGGTCAATATCTGTCAGTCTGTGTACTTTGTGTGCGCAAAATCATAAAATGATCATTATAATATCATTACATAATGATTGCGGCAGTGCTGCGCCAGTAGATAACGTCCGTTAGTTTAATCATTCTGGTTTCTGTCATTCCCGCCATACCTGGCACCCCCGTGCTGTGCTACCATGTTCGCGGGGCGTGGAGCAACGGCAGCCATCGGCCAGGCAAGACACGGCGCATAACGGCGGCGATGTCATGGCGCGGGATGGAGGCCTGGTGGTGGGATGCGTATGAAGGTGCGCGGCGGAACGGTGGGAGGGTGGCGTGGGGTGGCGTGCGCGGCAATTGGGCAGGTCGCTGGGCATTTGTAGTGGACGCGATGTTTCTCGCCTGTGGGTGCCTATGAGACCCCGCGCTCCAAGGACAGGCACGCGCGGCCACCGGCCCACACCCGAGTCGCACGGCTCCCTCCCCGCCGAGCTGGCCAACAAGAAGCAGCGCAAGGGGCAATCCAACGACGAGGTCCGGCCCCCCGCCCTTCCCGCAGCCCGACTGGCCCGCCGTCCGCATCGCTGCGTCGCGGTGCCGATTGTTCTCACTTCTCGTATCGCAGGTGGCAGAATGTGGATGATCAGCGGTTACTGAGGACGAGCAGGGAGATCGCCCGGCCGGGGCTGCTGCTCATGACCGACCACTAGGCGTTCGTGTTTCCGGACAGGCCCTCACCGCAGTGCAGCCCGCCAAGTGAGGTGCGCTCCCGGCCTCCCCTCGCTGCACCGCCCAATCGAGGCACCCCTGCCGCCTGTGGCTGACGGTCGCCACGTGACTGTGCAGGAAAGGTACTACGTCTGCGGGCTCGGCGACAACCCGTCCTCACGACGGAAAACCTGGCGTGAAGCCGGTGCCTGGAGCGCCCCGCCGCCTCCTGTACGCATTTCAAGCTTATGATCTGGAGGTTAGAGGAGTTGATTGTCAGGCCTGTCACCGGTGTTGCGCCGTTCGGTTGGGATCCCGATCCGCCGGCTCTGACTGGGAGGCGAGCAGCGAAATAAGCAGGAGGAAGGAGCGAGAAGAAGAATTATTGTGGCGATTGGAATCGTTCGCATCATATCAAAGCACCGTGACGCTGCCATGATTGAGGTAAGGCAAGGGCGGTGTTCAAAGTCATTGCGCGGTAGCCATGTGCCATTGCCATGGCGCAGTGATCATACCCATGCTCTGTTCGTCTGACGCTGCAAAATACTTTTGCCAGTTCTTGTATTCTTGCCACAAAGACTTGTGCCACTTGCTTCCAGTCTCCACATGTCCATATGAGCAAGCTTGTCCTTTCACGGAGGGAAATGATCGAAATGGTTTCCTCCATTCTGGCCTACAGCTATTCGGAAAACTTGGAGCCAGTCTGTACGACTTCCTGCACCAGAATGACTACCATCCAGTTTCCATTCCTGTGGTGCAGCAGTATGGTCGTCTGTTGCTGGAAGCCATTGGGTACATGGCAGTTTGGTGTATCTTTGGGGATGTCAGAGTGTTTGGCAGCACTCAGCAATCGGCAGGGTAAGATTGTATTCATGGCAGTGTTGCACAGTTTGTTGTGTGTCAGGGTAGGGTGCTGGTGTGTACTGACACTGTGCAAGTGTGTGTGGCAGATGGAGAGCCGGTGATGGCAAGGATGACGTGGTGTTGTCGACACAGGTGGTGGCCACTCATGGGCTGCTGTTGGAGTGTTGCACGACGGTGCCTAGGCTCATTCTGGTTGGCAGTCTGGCATACATCGGTGCAAAAGGAATGGTTAATTGGAGTTGTATTGTCTCTTCATTAATGATAGGTAGTGGCTTAGAGAAGTTGGCTTAGAGAGGTGGATAATTTGATGGGTAGTTCCATGGGTAGAGATATGGACGCAAAATTGATTTGTAGTTGCTGTAAAATCTGTAAAACAATTCGTTTCAAAGATTGAAAGGGGTGCCTTGCCATGGTCCCAGGTGCCCACAGAGACTGTGCTATCCATGCCGCCCCTCGCCATCCCAGGATACGCCACATATCCAGGTATGGCCATATCCTCGTCCATACTTCAAAGTTATGGTCCCAGGATATGGGCGCTTCATATTCCGGATATACAATATATCTCCTGTCCATATCCTCCTTATACTCGCTATAGATATAAGCTCATATTTGGGATATATCTCGTCCTCTCATATCCCAGGATATTTTATACGATATGGCCATAACATGTTCATAACTCGCCATATCCTCAGGATATTCATTTGGCTATTTCATACCGATATGTATTACGTCCTCCCATATCATATTCGATATCCTGGATATGGGTGAGGATATGGGCGTTTCCATATCTTAGGATATGCAACTTTTTTCCGACGAGAGGTTCATGTATAGAGGTGGCTGCTGAGTGGGAGCAATGGAGTCATCAGAATGTAACGTCTAGTGTCAGAATGTAGGGTAAGCAGGAATGTATCTGCTGTCCCAACAGATGATGATACTGATTATGGCAACAACAACACTTCTCTAATGCCTTATAATGAATGAATGAATATCGATTAGGCTCCATTCTGGAGAATGACACAGGCCACATATTTAGGGGTGCAGAGTATCACTGACATATGGTGTAATGGCCGATTGAAACAATTGGAACCAGATTGAATTGTGCAAAATGTAGAATGTACTCCTCATGTGCCCAATTTCTTGTGAGGGTAGAGTGCTGAACAGAAACAGATATACCCAACAAACTCTTTCATACAATTTTGGCAGGACCAAAAACAGGAATACTTTCTCCTAATAGATAAAGTTTTCCTATTTTTGGTCACACCTCATTCCTATTGAAGCACTGCACCTATGGCTCACATCTACCAGGCCTGTTGTTCCAAATATCCTAAAGCGCTTACCAATGCCACATGATGCACAATTGATGGCATACAATCTCCGGTGTACGTGGTACAACAAAATTGATACTGCAACAATGCACTGTACTTATTTGTATTTTTAAATTGCCATACCAAACCATATGATAAACTCTACTTCCTCCACCCCATATTAATCGCCAACCATTTGAAATAGAAATTTTGTACAAGAAAGAGCATCTGAATACAGAAGGAGGCCAAAATCAGAAAGACTGGGTCTCAGAACCCATAGGTTCCAAAGTAAGTCCTCATGCATATGTGCAGGCCCCAAAATAATTTGGTTTGGTCCAAAAATCTCCTGTTCAGATTTTGCACTCCCTAGAGACCACCCCCACCCGATCCTCAGTTCTAAGCCGTTTCCATGCTTGTGAGTCACAATGCAAGTCATTGCTGCCATTGTGGTAAAAGGGAGCCTTCCAGCACATGGTATAGTGCATGCCAAACACTGTCATCCATGCTTGGATCCTCCTTATAGATGTTTGTCATCACAATTTTGACATTGACCACAACAACCACCCTTCTTCATCCCTGATGTGGAAATTTGAAATGAGCAGAAAAGGCCAAGGTCCGAGACATTGAAGCATGGCCTCAGTGTGAGCTGTTGCTGCAAGTTTATTTTGCCTTCCCTGGACTTTTCGCCTTGATTGATGCTAGAATCAAGGTTTTGTGTGCAGCTCAGCCCTAAATCCACAAACAACTACTAGCTTCCAATTGTTGCATATGATATCAAATCCATAGCAGCCCAGCAAGTCTCTATTGCTTCAAGTGACATGAGTCGTGTCACATGACTTTACCCATCCAGCCATTGTCCTCACACCCAATCCCTTCAATGCCAAAGCAAGGGTGACTGACCATTCCCGTTGTAGTGGCCACTTGACAAATTGGCCACACGTCATCAGGTTGATGACCATCACCTCCTTTTACACATTGCCAATGGATAAGCAGACCTCTTGTAGTTGCTTTGACAGTGGCAATGGATGCCCAAAATCCCTGGCCCAAATTTCTGCCCCCCAAGCATTGCTCTGATCCAATGGATCGAGTTTGAATTGCAGTTGTAGGCATGGTGTGTTCAACGGCCAGGTACTTGAGAATGCATTTTCTATCCTTCCACATCTTCGCCAGCACTGTGCTGACCTCGATGTGAATGGCATAGACGTTTTTTTATGGGTGGATCTGTTTTGACGCCAAGAAGGCACATTCCTCAAGACAACAATAACAATCACTGTTGCAACCATGCTAGTAGCCATGTTTGTTTGCCTACCTTGAGGAATCTTGCCATAAAGTACTCTCAAATCCTCTATATTTTGCAGATTGACTTGATTTTGGATTGTACACTCCAAACTCCAAGACAAAACTTTGGGTGAAAATTACTGAAATTGGAGTTACACAATGGAGAAATAATCCACCAAAATCATAGATGGTGGTTAGTATGGGATGGAGGAACTCTTGAAAAACTATGTTCTAGCCTTTCAAATGCCGGTTTCACATGCCATGAATCTGCGAGGCGTTTGATAATCGATGTTGAACACACTATCTACTTCCTTTTTCACGCCCATCACTGCCTACCAGGTGTACGGGCTGTGTTTTGTCATTTTGTGACAAATGTAATTCATGGATTTTGATGATGATGATATTCTAGCCTACCACTCATGTGAAATCTACATTGAGCTCAACACGCATGATGGGAATCAGTGAAAACCTCAGTACATACATGTGTTGGTGCTCCAAACACGCTCCCACTCGGCGCCACTCACTTGCAATTCTTTTTGATTTCTTGGCTTCCTTCTCCAGAACAAATTCTATGAGCCGTCGGTCGTCAAGACTATAGAAGATGACATTGCGCGATGGAAGCCCATCTCGACCTGCACGGCCCGATTCCTGATACAAGGCGTCCAGCGATTTGGGAACGTTGAAATGAACAACCATGCGGACATCTGAAGCATTGCCAAACAGTTTAGGACCGGTTAGGTAGAAGCTGCACAGACCGCCCATTTCATGCAGCAGCCCATTGGAACAGATTCTTGTGCAAAGGCACACTGCAGCGGAGGAATTTAGCACTGGACAACATCAGCATGTAAGACCAGTCAGAAAGGGAGACTGATTGCAAAACTATCCAAATCCCCCATCTGGGTTAATGCCGAAGTCCAGTGTTTCAGTAACACAAATTTTACACATTTCACCACTTGTTTTGTTGCAAGTAGCAAGCAGCCCATCTCCCGGAGCGAATTTTGTTTTGACACACTTGCACATGATCTGATATGTGACAGCTGCTGATGAGCACCAAGTGGGCAATGAGGGTGAAGATGCAGCTCATAGCAGTCCATAAAGGCCCCTGCCTGCACATCATGTAAAAATATGGCATTTTCGAATTCTGAATAAACATCAAGCAAACATCATTTCAGAAACTCAAACACCTGTGTTGACTTCTACGTGAAAGGACACAGCATTCCCTGTCAAGCTAAACAAATTTCATTGAAAACCAAACTGATAAACTTTTTGTTGACCTTTCTTTGGTATTCCTTGAGGCACAACTCGCACTCACAGCTGAGTGCTGTTGGTGAATCTGCATCAGCCAGCAGCATGACAACAATACCTTTCCACAATTTAATGAACTGCAACAGCACCCGCTTACCAGCCTTGTTGATCCCCATTCCAAAAGCAACAGTTGCAGCCACCACCACAATGCGCCCATCCAAGAACTCCTCCAATATGCGGCTGCGGTCCACTGCTGGCAAACCAGCATGGTAGGCCCTTGATGCAATGCCTGCACCCTGTAGCCTGGCTGCCAGCTCTGCAGTCGTGGACTGCTTCAGGCAGTATACTATGGTGCAGGTGGGGCCGCTATCCGGCCTCTGTACCATATCAATGAGAAGTTTGTACTTGTCCTGTCACCACCATATTAAGGCCATCAGCATCGCAGGCTGGACCATCATGAGAATTGGCAGACAGCAGCTACTAATTGAACAATAAGATACATCCATTCATGGTGCAGCCTGCCCTGGAACAAAACCCAATGCAGCTTGCAGCTGGATAATTAGCAAAGCCAGTGGGTCAGTAAGCAAAGTCACTGAGTCAATGAGTAAAGCCAGTGGGCCTGTAGGCAAAGCCAGTAAGTTTTGATCAGCAAATAAAAAGACAACTCTGGTCATGCCCACTATCAAATGACAGAATGCTTGGATTTAAAATTTTAAAGAAATGGTGAATAAATGTTGTCATGTAAATGTGTAAATAAATGACTCCAGAAACCACATGCTGAACTTGGCATGAATTCAAGTTGGGATGACTACTTAGCTGTGCATCCAACACAATCATGATGCAATACATTGGCCATTCGTAATTCCAGGTATTCATGTAACCTTTGTGTGATTTTCCTACTATACTTGCAACACCTCACTCTGGCAAGATTTCCACCCCATGGGGTCCACAGCATGCACAAGAGTATCACTTGACAAGTTGTCTATCATGATGGTGGTGCTCATTGCATGCGAGGCGAGGCATTCATTTTGTTTGAAATATACATGCACATGCCGACTGCTGGAATTAATCTATCACATTTTATACTGCATATTCGACGCTAAATGAGTGTGTAAATTATATAGCATTTACATATATGTAGATGGTATATAATTTACACCAGGCACATTTCAATAAACTGAAACGTTTGGCTCACAGAAAAAGGCACCATGCGATTGTGACCAGGGCAGTGAAGGATCCACAATGCTCACTTGCTGCTCCACGTCTGTGTACACAACTTCATAGTGAATGTTTGGACGATTGAAGCTAGAAATCAGGATTTGGGGATTGCGCAGCTTGAGGGCTTGGACAACTTCATCCTGCACCTTCTTGGTGGCAGTTGCCGTCAAGGCCATTATCGGCACCCGAGGAAATGCGTCCCTCATGGCAGCCAGTCTCCTGCACATGCAGGAGATATTTTGTCATATTTCATGTACTGTTCTGCTATGTTTTGTGCTTTCGTGATTTGTCATTGTTCTTCTATTGATGCAATGTGGGTCCCACGGCAATTATTGCCCATTGCGAACAAGAAGCAATAATTGTTGTGGGACTCACGTTGAATGAAGTCATGAAATATGACAAATCATTCACATTTTATCTATCTAATGATGTTGGTATGCTGGTTGCTGTGGAAGTATTTTGGGGCTTCTGCTGTATAAAACTGCTATTGCATTGCTGTCATCAACTATTAGAAGAAGGGCATTGCACCAGAATGCGGTGGCAATGTCAAAGGCTGCATGGTCTATGGACCTGCTCTCATTTGAGGCAAAGCGTGGCAGGTTGCTTTACTCACCACAAAAAACGGATACAAAATACATGGGAGGAGAAGCATGTAACATACAGTGATCTCTGATCGGCAGTTTGAGAATTATATCAAGAATCAAGAAGGGGGCAAACGCCTGTATGGATGTGTATACATACCGACCTGTATGATGGACGAAAGTCGTGACCCCATGTGCTGATGCAGTGGGCCTCGTCGATTGCAAACAGTGCAAGTCTACCAGAGGCGTAGATTGATGTGAGAATAAACATGAACCTGTAGGCAGCATATTCACATGTAATGGCATTGTAAAGTGCGGATCATAAATGGAACATCACATGTGACAATTCTTGGGACACATTTTTTTGACTATTGGATTCACCAATACATTCAACAACAAATTTTCTGCTCAGGTTTGAGCTCTCAATCTATTAAACATGTTGTTCGTGTTAAAGTGTCTCTTGACATATTGACTCCCAGGGAAGTTCAAAAATGAACTTTGAAGGACATCTTAGAGATCAGCTGATAGCCATAGAGCACATTCATCCTTCTAAACGCAGGTGCTTTTAGCAGCAAAAATGCATTGATTTTGCTGCTCAATGAAGTGGAGATTCTCAGGATGGCAACATAGAAGCATTGCTGAGCAAGCAGAAAGAAACCTCCATTTCCCATCAGCATTGCTATCAGCATTATGATATTTTGACAATGCTCTTGTGCTGTGATGCTCTGATATGGCTTCTCATGCTGCACTGTTAAATAGATTCATCACGTGATCCCATCCACATTGCATGCCCAGATAATACACAACAGTGGCACATTTTTTGCATCAGTGTGTATCCCCATCGACGAAATTGACCAACATGCAATGTGGCATCGCGAGGATTGTAAATGTATGTAGCAGACATATACATTACACAGAGTATGCATAATGCTATGGGACATCTGATGCAGGCACTTGTGCATGCACAAGTTGTTATGTTTAACATATTGTTTTCCACATTTAGCCTGACACAATATAGCATTAGATTCGAATTCACATTGATCCACAAGCAACACAAAATGCCAATGCGTTTCATCATCAGAATATAGAACCCTATTGGATGAGTTTCGTGCAAGGACAAAAACTGAGTTATCTTCCCATATAGCCAAAAGGGTGCTATGTGGCACAGAACTGCCGTTTTCACCTCTTGGGCAATGAGTCTGATGAGAGACATAGCCTTAGAACCGCACTTGTTCTGCCACTTTCCACAGACAATTGTTCCTAAAAAGCCCTTTTTTGCTCTACAGGGAATGGACATGGCAGAGCTCACTTTTCTGTCTGTGTCATTTCTGGCGTCACATAGAGAAGCTGTGGAAAATTGCCTTCAGACTTAAGACTGCCCAAGATGGCTTGCTTCTCATACTCTGTCCTTGTTGATGACAAATACTCTGCTCGGATGCCCTTGGCTTGCATGGCACTGACCTGATCCTCCATCAAGGCTGTGAGGAAATGAAGGGACATCACAACGTATTCAGATGCTGAAGGTTGGTATCACAGAACCAGCAACCAATTGAACAGGGAAAAGGAAGCAAGGCGCTGCTGCAGGTATAACCTCTTTGCTGTATTGCCACAACTCAATATTAATTTACATTCTCTTCATCACACTGTGTTTTCGAACTCATTATCTTCTTGCTCCTTCCCATCATTTGCTCATTGACATGCGCATCCATTTACAGACGTACATGCAAACAGGCTTACGTCTATGTATGCACCATTTACGTTCACATACTACACACCGTTTTGGCATTCACATATTTATGCTTAAGAGCATGTAAATCGAGAAATGGCCATATTTATGCCCTTATTTATCCATTCTTACGGCTTACCCTGGTTACACGATGATGTCCCAAACAATGATCAGTTATCCATACCCCAAGCGCCTGCAGAACAGCGTCCACCTCGCCCTCAGCAAGGGGACTGAAATGGTCGAAGAATAGGTCGGCTTTTCGCACACTCCAGCGCGTCTGGCTACCACACCCAGACTCCCTGAGTCTGTATGTACAGTCTTTATGTACACCACACTCATTTTTATGCATAATTTATGCCTATTTATGCATGCAAATGTAAAACCTATTTTTACATATAATACATGTAAATACATCCGCATTTAGGCAATAATAACAAGTTTGCATGCAAAGAAGTGTACAAATGTGGATGTGTACAAATGATTACATAGAATTCTTACACTCCCATTCCAGATCCACTCACCAATGAGAGGAGACACAACAATGGTGATGCTGTTGTTGACGACGCTAGGCAGTGCATAGCACAAGGACTTGCCTCCTCCAGTAGGCATCAGTACAAAGGCATCGCGTCCTGATCAAAGTATCACATTGAACAAAGCTTCACAGGCACACAGAACAATTGACCTCCATGACTCAAGCAACTTTAATATTTGATGTTCAAATACCAGGTGTACAAGTTGACTCAATTGATCTGCCTGTTGTGCAATTCTCACAACTGAATGAAAAAACATTGTGTTCCATTGTGCAAATCTGGCAATTTGCTTACACTTTTGAGACATATGCCCTTCATTCAGCATGCATACATGACAATCCCGATTTTCACCATACAGGAACAGCTTCCATTCTTGGTATTAGCAATTTCATTAAGATTTCTGGAGTTTCTGCAATTGTCTTGCTCAATGTTCCCAGCCTTTCGCCCAAAAACAGTCATTGTTTTGCCAACTGGTGTTCTGAAAAGAAAATTGGCAATAAGTTCACAAAGACTATGGGGTAAAGACACCTTCAGCATTTCTGAAAGCTGAGAACCCCCATTTTTGGATTTTGGCTTAGAGTTCAAACAATTTTGTACATCATTATAAACAAAGCCCGCTAACAAACAGCAGAAAATGCAATCTACATCATGGGCCAGCCATTCATCTGTGCTTTTCAATTCTCTCATGGGGGAGCTGCGCTTATGTAAATCTGTACACATTTCTAAGCACACATCCAGGACAGAAAGATGGCAATCACAGTGCTGAAGGTGCAAGTTTGAGAGGTGGTCCACAATCTCCAAAGCATGACTGTTCTAGGCATTGTTGAATGGGATTACATGATGGCATTGCATGCCACTAAGAAAAAAGTCAGTAGTTTGCAAGCAATTTTCATTGCAACTTGCTCCCAATCTACTGTCCTTTTCTTGACATCATGTAAGCAGTTGCAATGAAGTGCTCACCACAATAGTGTCAAAGCCCAGAAGTGCGCAATGAAATAATGGACTGCATTGCCAGTGCAAATCGAGCACCTTACCATTCAAAACTGCCAAGACAGCAGCTTCTTGATTGCTGCGAAAGGATGAAAATCCTGCAAAACAGTCCATCCAATTTCAGCAAACTACAGAACAACTAACATCTGGTTGCATTCAGAAGATGCTTTCAGTACACAACCTTGAAGCGATACGAGTATGGTGCTTGAACCTTCAGCTTCAGTGCTGAAAACAATGACTCACATAAAATAATACAAAAGGGCGCGAAACACTATCAGCACAGCAAAGATTAGGAATTGTGCATTTCCCTGGTAGAGTGGCGGTAAGCAATGTCTTAGGTCAAGTCCTGGCAATCACTTGCCTGATGCAATCCACAGTCTTCGCCAATCACCATGCATTGAAAGGAGCATTTTTGAAAAGGGATCAATGTATTTGGCACAAGATGGCACTAGTGGTGAAAAAATCTGCCCTGATTACATTGAACAGTATATGCCAAAAGGGCCCATCTAAGCAAATTGAATACAAACTCCCATCTAATAAATCCTTGGCCACAAGTTCTCAAATCTTGGTCACAAGATCCTTGGCCCTAACTTTTGTGACCATCTTATTCAAGTGGGTGCTGTTGCCTTCCCTGAAAACTGTTGCAGCTCCACAGTGACTGCACATGAATTTCGCCACAACTACACTCGCCTCCAAAGAGCTTATGACTGACTGCACAAGCAGGCCATCATCATGTGCTGAGAACTGGCCATGCTCTGCACGTGCCTCACCGAATGTAGTTTTAAGAATGTGCCTGATCTTGTTGCGCTGTTCAGTGTCTGTGACATCGTGATGGGCCTTCTTTGAGCGATTGGCCAAACTGAGGCCTCCCATGCGCTTCATATTCCAAGCGTGACTGCCACACTAGACATCAAGGCCTCAGGGGATCAGAATTGGAGAAGAGGCACGGAAGCAGAATGCTTCTCCTGTGCCAATCAACGCTACCTCAGTTGCCAAAATGTAAGGTGCTACCCTTGAACATCTGGGCATTGAAGAACAAAAGAAAGCTGCAATTTCCTTTCTGGAATGTTAATGCAATTCAACTATATAGAGGTAACCAGAATTTCATGAAACAATGAATGAAGATTAGCAGATGGGCTCCAATCGAATAGATTATGCCCCATTCCCAGCCACGCAAATAGGCATTCATTCCCTAGCACAAAACAGCAGCTGAAAATGGTCAAGTTGAGATAGCCAACCACAGCAAGAACAGTGGGTACCATTGGGAGCATTAAGTTGCCTGCCATCGGGACCAAAAGTTCAAACAGTCAGCTAGATCAATGGCCCAACGAATTGAAGACAACATCAATGCGGTGTGTGCGAACAGTTTCCCTACTTTCACGATGCTCAGGATTCTGTGTTTTACCTGTGAAGGTGCACTTAATGAATCATACAACCCCTAGACTACTTCATAAACGTTGTCACAGGCACCCTGGTGATCTTAGGCACTGTGGATGTGGCACATCGCCTTTGCAAGTGCATTTGCTCCGTCCACATGTAGCTAATCCAATTTTCCCTAATCATGCTCCCATCAATGAGCCATCGCATGAGCCCCACCCCAACAGCATGCTTTCACGCTATTGGTGTATGGCACCCAGCTGCTCTGCAAATTCCCAGTCCTCCATAGCGTCTTCTGCACCATGCAAAAGAGCAACTTACAATTCTCCTGCTTAGCCACAGAGGCATCCTCCAGGAGGCATGCTTGCTTTCCACTCAAAGACGTTCTCACCACCCTGTCAAATTGCAAGTTAAACTCAACTCTAGTCTGTGGCTGCTTCACAGCTGCTGTTTTAAAGAGATCATGCTCATCTTGTGCGGGCCCATGCCCAACAGAGCCTTGCAGGGTCAAGGGCGTTGCTCTGTCACCATTCAACAAAATGCACTGCACGGCCTCCAGCAAAGCTCGTGCTCCGCCCCAGGGAAACGCCAACTCTCAAATTCATATATGGGTGAGGGAGACTCTCCCACCCACCACCCGGGAGCCTGACGCGCCCTCATGCCCCGAGATGCCGAGAGAGATCTGGATCGGGAGCCAACCGATGGCATGCTGCCCTCCTGCCATCGCTTCGTGACACCACTTCGTCTCTTGGAGCCAATTTCCAACAAGGAAACCAGCGCTGGCTGTCCGGCCTTGCAAACAACGAATTCAGTGCCATGACACCACCAACAACGATTCCCCGTTCTCCCCACCTCGCCATTTGTGTGACCTGTTTCTCTTTGTGACAAGTCTGACCCTCACCCCGCGCTCCCTTCGCCCTCGAGGCGCCCGTCGGCCTTCTGCGACCCCAAAGATCGCCGAGGCCAGCGCGTGGGGCGTGATCGCCAGCGCCTTGCCCCAGATCCCACAGCCCCAGAGTCCCGCAGTCCCGAATCCCCTAGTCGGGATCCGCTTTTGGCGGACAGCCGGCGACCAGAGACCGGGACCAAAGCGCAGAGAAGGAGGCAAGGGCGAGAAGACGCCAACAGGAGAACGGCTGAGTGAGAGAAGAGAAAGAAAAGAAAAAAGAACAAGGAAAAAAGGAAAAAGGAAAAAGGAAAAACAATGAAAAGAAGAAGTAGGAAAAAAAGAAGAGGCGAGCATGAGATCAGTCCAACAGCAGAAGAAGCAGGCAGGCGAAGAGGCAAACAGGAGTAGTGAAAACAGAAGAAGGGGCAAATTGGAGAGGGGAGTGGGGCGAGTGAGTGAACATCATTACAGGCAACGTGCAAAATCGACACACTGGTCATGTCACATGTCGCTGCTGCTGAAGTCAGATGGTTAGGCAGCGCCCCTCTGCTAGCGGTCTACTGTGACCTCACAATGTTGATGGGCGCAAGGCGGCCTTGGGTCTGCGTGGTGCGGAGACCAAGCCCGCGGCTCCCAGGGATCGATACCGATGCGTTGTACCGAGCAATCGATACCCCGACGACGGTGCAGCATGCCCATGTGGGCACCCACATGGGGCCCAGTCCGCGCCGCTGACACCTACCCCGTTTCTGTTAGATCGGCCAACCGCCGTCTCCTGCCCCCTGGACTGCGGCTGCGCCTTGGGGGGGGGCGCCCAACCGACACGCGCGTGCGCCCCTTGGGCGCGGCGCCGCCCCCTGAGCGCGGCACAAAACCCGCGGGCAAAAAAGGGGCTTCTAAAGCTCGACGCGGATTTGTTGCAAGTCAGAGCTGTTTCGTTTGTTCCGCTTTCCGCTCAGCGCCTGTCGGGGCGGCCGTTAGTTCGATCTGAGGCGCCGGGCGGGCCCGCCCGCGCCGCGACGCTCAGCTTTTGGCCTCGATGGACTCCCCAAGCCAGAGAGAATCGCATCAGGATGCCGCGGAGGGCTCCCGGAGTTCCCTTGGCACTGAATCCCCCTCGACCGCCCTCCGCCCGTCTCCCCCACAGGAGACATCGCCCGGAGACCCCTCCCCCCTCGCCCCGCCGCCGGCTGGAGGTCGGGATCGGACCCATGATCTCGATTGGGTTCGCGTGCGCGATCGGCTGGCGACGGCCGTGGTGCGCGGCGCAGCGGCGGGCCTGGTCCTCCGCGGCGGGCTGCATGTGCTGACTAAAGCCCTGAGGGCGGCGTCCGGGCCCGGGCGGGGGGGGGGAGGCGGGGACAGGGATGCGCTGCTGGAGACGGCGCGGTACACGGCGTGGCTGGGCTCGCTGGCGGGCGTCTTCGTGGGCGTGGACGAGGGGCTGGCGGCGATCTGGGGGAAGGAGAGGTGAGGAAGAAGAAGATTTCCTACAGGTGGTGTTGCGGCAGAGATGCGCATGTCACCGTCCGTGGTATGCCCGCGGTACACGACCCATCAAAATACCCGCAAGGGAGTGGCGGGGAGAGGGAGGGGAATTGTGGGCATCGTTTTCTGCCGATTTTCGCTCCTTTTTCCGCGTGGCATTGCCTGGTTCGGGTTGAAATTGGTGACGTAGTGCGGAGGCCTTGCTGTTGCCGAGGATGGGGAGGGGTCGGGAGGTTGGCGAGCTCTTGTTCGCGACCATGGAGCCTGTAGATGTGCCTGTATGGACGCACGCGCCGTGTGTTTTGGTCCCATTGGGGGGGGCCGGGGGGGGAGAGTCTTACTGCCCTTTGAGAAGGTCAGCTTCCGGTGACAAGGGAGTGGAAGGGTTTCATAGGCAGCTTTCGACCGGTGCGCATTGTGGCTATTCTGAATTCGGTGGGCGGGGTGCAAGAGTCGCCAGTAGATGGGGAAATCGTGAAGGATGCAGGCCTTGTTTGTCCATGACATGAGTCAATGCCTGCCCCATGGGCCCAATTCATCACCCTAGCTGGGGGTTCAACTCATTGCTGTCCTAGACAACTTGTTTGGGCGCGGGTGTGTTGTCATCCCTTGTTTGCATCAGCTCAGCTGACATCTTGTGTGTTGTGGTGCACAGGACGGCTGACTGGCGAGCCCTTGTTGCAGGACTTTGTGCAGGACCAACACTGCTGCTGACAGGGTAGGACATGCGATCAATCAGAAAGAAAAACTGCGAGTTACAGTTGTCCGTGCTTGTTGTCTCCCACCTCACAAAATTTTTTGGTTCAAGAGTGTGTGCCCATTCCAATGCCTGTTCACCTTGGTTGCACTGAATCTTCTATTCCAAGCCTCCCCCCTTCCTGTTGTGTTTTCTACTGCAACCTTTGGTGATGCACGGTTCAATGCTGAATATTCAAATTGCTAAAGCCTAGGTGTCAACTATGTTTATGTTTGTAACTGTCATCTCACAGTTGATTGCTATGATTTCAATCTGCCATGGGGTCAATCATAATGATATTTGCAACTCTCGACTCTGCAGTACATCCGCTCAAGCATTTTGTGTTTCACAGTACTAAAGTTCGTCATAACAGCCTGGCAATCTACATCCTCTTCCGAGGTATCACCCTCCTTATCCGGTGTGGCAACAAGTCTACAGCTCCACCGTTGCTCCGGAGCCTTTTGACCCCAACTCGATGGGTCCATGGAGACACAGTCCTGATGTGCATCGCTTGCTGCCAGATTCTACATTCCTTCATCTTCATGCCCCAGGCTATGCCCCGTTCCTATGTCAATTTCATCAGGAGGCATTCTGGAAAGCCAGCCTATGTGTGGCAGGCTGTCAGGGTGAGTCAATTTAGTAAAATCCAATTGTCCTTACATCTCATAAAGCACTGCCTAACAGTCAGCAGCTTCAAGACGATGACATGCATACAGCCATCAAACTTTTTTCGAATATTCCTGATGTCCTGTCAAGCAGAGAGCAGTGATTGAGGGTGCATAATATTGCAAATTTTTCAAGTGGTAGCCATAAGCACTAAAGATCGCTGGCTGCAGTGAATACCAGCATCGATCACAAAACATTCACTCATGGGTGGAGCGAAATCTAAAGTTGCTTTCATTTTCCAATCAAGGAACATCAATTGCCTTTGCTAAATGTAGGTGACATCAGGCACATGCAGATCCACAATATAGCTTTGCTTCCCACTAGCTAATAGCTCCTTACGCTATACCTGCTGCTGCCTGGCCTCTTGGAAACCACTTGCACAAAGGAAAAAATTGCAACTGTGAAGAACAGGAAAGATAACACTGCGAATGTTGAAAACGGCTATGTCCACCACCAGTAGTAATCCCTGCAACACAGTTGGATAAATTGTGTTCATGTTGGCAACAGTGTACAGCCAACAGACCGCAGTGCTGTGCACAGGGCAAAAAACAGCTGATGATCGCCTAACCTGTTCCCCAAGGCACCGTCGTGTAGTGTAAGCCCTCATGACAGTCACAGACATGGGCAGCTGATGCTCCACTGTCCCACCTGATATGTGGTGCAGGCCAGCTGTCCTGGGATACACAAGGGTGGACTACAAAAGCAAAAAGAAATGGAAACAAGTTCAGCGTTGTGTGACAAACTTCATCTGCACATCCTTTGCCACTTGTACCCCCCACTGCCCGGTCACATGGAATGAACGAAGGCATCCTGAATGGAATGGGGAACCTGACACCATGTCGCCTCCCAAAGTGTGTTACCACAACTGGTTGAAGTCAAGTGTTGCATAATGTTTGAATCAGCATGCATGGGACAGGTCTGACAGTGCTCAGGACAGGTCCTGGCGCAGCCGATCACAGCAAACAAAAAACTGAGCCATCCAACTGAGCCGTCAATGGATGACGCCAATCTGTCTGTTTGCATTCGTCAAGATACTGCAAACTTTGGCCTTCTGCCTGGAAGGAGATGACAAGGGCAGTGTTTGTAGTGCAGGAGCTAGTGAAGGCCAACGCCACCACAGGCCGGCCCTCCTCCACCCTCCCTGCGGTCCAGGGGACCAGCCACCTGCCCTTCTACACCCGCAAGGCCTGCGAGCTGTTGCACCCAGGCCAGTCTTGCCTTTCCCACATGGTGGGCATGCTGCCCGAGGCCTATGTGCGGGCCTTCCCGGTGTATGTGCCAGTGTACCTGGTGCCTGCCATGATCGTGCACAGGAAGAAGCTGGTCACTGATGCCCATAGGATTTTCCCACGAGTGTTGCGGGGAAGTTTGCGATCCACCATGTTCCTGGCGTTGTTCATTACCCTTGCTTACACAGGTGGGAGGAGGCAACCCTGGCTTCTTTTTCAGTGCACATTTATTCTGCATTTCTGTCTTTTTGTTGTTGGCCATTATTGGAATTTGGGAGCAACTGCCAACAACATCGTTGCAGAGCCCCCAGACTGCACACAAAGGTTCTCGAGTTTAGCCCTTGCTCAGCCCCTTTTTAATCTTTGCTGCTTCATTATTTACATGAATTCTGAGTGCCTTCTCATCGCTGTCTTGCCGTGCAGCAAATTTTCGCCACTGGTAGCAGCCCATTGTTTGTCATTGCATCCCAGCTGTCGGTAGTCAGTGATGTCTTCAATGGCATTCTGGTTGATCTATGTCATAGGGTTCTTGATTCTTATGTTTGGATGTCTCATCAGGAGCATGCAGTACGCATACACTATTTGGCAGCAGCTCACTCTTCATAACCACCTCTGGGTTGTGGATCACGGGTTTGGCCACGTTGGCGGAAAAGAAGAGCCGTAGAATGGAGCTGGCTCTGTACTGCTTGTCACGTGCTACAGAGTCCTTTGCGCGTTGCCTGATTGAGTGGGGAGCACCCATCCCTACCTGGCTGAGAACTGCCCGCCTGGATATTGTGATGTTCAGCTTGGCTACGGCAGCCATTATGCACTGCTACTCGGACGATGAAGGGAGGCACAGGGATGTTTTCAGGTACTTTATGGAATTGTTGTGTTTGTGCCTTTGCTGGGGTTCTTGTGCCAGATTGTTGTGTTGCATTGAACAGTCCAGGTGCCACCCATGCCTAGAATAAGGGGCGTGTGCAGCTTCACAGGGCAGAACAAGGCATTGTTCTGTAACTGTTGCTTGTACAATTTTGTTTCTTGGATGTAGCAGTGCATGCACAGGAACTCATAAGGGCGGGTTCATGAAAGCACAACGTTAAAACTCTGAACATTGATCTAGAGACTGTGGGCTGATTACTGAAGGCAGTATGAGCTTTGGGAATCCCACAGTAGTTACTGCTCATACAGGGTGACAAAACCTGACGGCCATCCCCACCTCGCGTGTGGTGGTCTATGCTTACCTTGTCTATCTGGAGGCGGAAGGCTCGATCCCTCCCCTAAAGGAGGAATCCCTTTCCCTCCCCTGCCAGGGAGTCCTCCCTGGCATCGCATCCATGGTCCTCACTGGGAAGTGATAAGGATTTGTTCCACACTGAAAGGGTCCCATTGATTGGGGAAAAGCATGAAATGGACAGTGAACAATTCTGAGGTGTTGAGTTCCTATGTCGCTTAACAATTTTTGGGCCTGTGTTGATGGAGGTTTTGGAAAGATACAGTCAGACCGACTAGTCAGCAACGTTGTGCCCAAGCAAAAGTAACAGAGTCAGATGTCATTCTGTTTGCCTCACCTGGGCAGTTGCCAGCATGTGGTGCCCATCGATTTACAAACAGATGTCAAGTGCACTTGCTGTGGGTGCAGGAGCAAGTATCTCAATGTGCTGGACTTCGTATTTGGCAACACAGGCCTGCACAATGGCATGATCAAACATGTGCCCTCCAACCAAGACTTGGTCACTGCTGTGGTGGATGGCAATCCTTGGATACGATTCTGGAAGCGGGTTCTGTGGGGAAGGAATGGTGAGGTCGATCGGCTGGAGCAACCAACAGAAAACTAGCCCACAGCGATTTCCACTTTGCCAGAAGGGCCACTCAACTTGCCATCTGTGGCCATTTGAACCTGGTCCACACCTAGTTGACACAGAGGTGAATATTTTATGTACAATGACCAGAAGTCAGTCCAGGCACCGCTCTGGGATTTGCGGCGCAGTGATTGGCAGGACAAGGAGAGAGTATTTGTTAGAGGTAGCGCATGGCGCCATGTGGGTGACAGGGAGACGATCTGCTTGAGAACTTGTGTGCCAGAATGCGTTCCTGGTGATTGCATGGTGGTGATTGGCAATAGAAGGGGGGAGTGACTGATAGAGGTAGGTCACCCCATACAGGAATGGAGTGCCGCAATCACCTTCACCCAGGGAGGAACGGCTCCTAGCAGAGATAGTTTTGCTAATTGCAATTCCTCCTCTACTACTATATGAACTGTTGAATGTGCTTTTTGGGGAGCTTGTTTTTGGTGCAGATTGGCTCTGCAGACTGCAACGTTACCCTGCGCTGAGCTGGTGTGCAAAATCATTCAACTATTTCGATCGAGCTGCAGACTTGTGTGCCGTGGATTGTTCAATCGAGGTGAATTTTTGCACAAGTCAAAGTTGCACACAGGTAGCCTTTGCCCTGTGCTGTGCAACTTTAGCAGTCGCTCGAGGGGCGGATTCAGCACCAGTCGAATTTGCAGGCGGGAGATCTTGAGTCCATCTGTTCCGCAGTGGGAAATATTGCAGCAGCTTCGTTGAAAGATTAAGATGCAAATCTGTTCTGATGATAGGATTCCTTGACCTGGCCATCTGTGGTGAACAGATTGATAGGAATGGCTACTGGCAAATGCTTGGAGCAGAAATGGGCGCCACACGTGCGAGAATGGCTTTTAGGCCGAGAGGGAGATTCAGCATATCAAAATGGCTACTGGGGCGCCACAAGTACAGGAATGTTTTTAAGGGCGAGAGGTAGATTCAGCGTCTCGAATTGGCACTGCTCTGCATTTAGTAAATGCTTGAAGACTCTGGAAGACTCTGCAAATGGCTGCATTTGATGATGCATGTATTGTACTGTACTCTTTGTGCATGAGTCAGCTGCAAGGCGGACTGCTGTGTCTTCCCTCAGATTTCTCATAGTGGAGAATGCAACGGATCTGTGCTATGTGCCATATCTTGTTTGGAGTGAAGGTAATAGCAGTTGTACCAGTGATTCGCAGATGCAAATTTGGGCCACATTCCAGGCCCGTTCTGGGGACTTTGTGAGCACATTCCAGGCAAAAGCCATTATGATATTAAAACCTGGAGCATCCAAGGGACACCACCAGGTTGGCACTTCTATGTGTTTCCAGCCGGGGTTCCAGTCCGTGCATTAATCCTAGCCATGATTAACCAGTCTTCAAATCGTACAGCCCCCCAACTCCCCCCACAAAAAAAAAACAAAAGAAAAGACAGACAAACTCAACCCGTGCGTCAATCTCATCCCGGACCCTGAACTTGGCCACTCAGATCCTTCGCATCATCTTGTGTCCATACACTATGATCACTTCACAAGAAAATTGACATTACCCGTTTTGGTGGCATCTGAAGCAGCAATGCGCCTGTAGACTGCAGGCACTGTGTTACCTAGTGTCAGCAAATTTAGGTATGATTGGCACTATATTGCTCTTACGAACATTACAATTGTCACAATGAATTTGGGTTACTGGCCCCTGGGTTTGTCCCCTGCACGTCCGGCGAAGTGTAGGATGGTGAAACTGGAATATTCCTACCATTGCTTGCACACGCAAGTTCTATCCAGTCGCGCACTGACAGAAGACAAGCTGGGATATTGAAGTGCACGTGGTGTTGTGAAGCCAGGCGCCCCTCTAAGAAAACTCGCACACCCGAATTCTCGACCTGCTGTCCTCCAAATCCACGAGCCCGATGTCCTTCCCGTCAGGCAGCGTCGGCGTCACGCACACCTGATCGCTCCCGCAATGTGCATCCTCGTCGCAGATACACTTGGCCGTCAGGGCGCAGCCCGGCAGCTTTCCCTTCTCCTCCTCGCCCAGCGCCCTCGCAAAAAAAGCGTTCTGGAACACGCCGTCCGGGTCCATGCTCCTCATGTCGGTCAGAAAATCAGCAAGCCGCGGGAAGTGCTCTGAAACGGGGGCGAAGTCCTCGCCCCAAAACGCCGGCCCATTTTTGCCCCAGTGCGGCACCCCGCCAAATTCGTGCATCAAGACTTGGAGCAGGGCATGAGCGGCCCCCACGAAGATCGCCGGCTCGTCCGGCGCGACCGGGATGGCGAAGATCAAGTCGATGACGGCCTTGTCGCCTCCCTGTGCGATGGACATGTGATTGTCGCTGGCGCCGTGCAGCCTGATCAGCCAGGGGGGCAGGCAGGTGGCCATGCCGTCCAGCACCTGGCGTATCCGCCTCATAGCGGCCGGAAAGTCCGCCAGGTCCACCGCGATCGACGTGTCCTGCCAGGGCGTGTCGAAGGCGCAGGAGCCCGGCCTGGCGCAGCTGACCGCCGACAGCTCGCCGAACTTCCCCGTGAGGGTGAAATTGATGAGGAACTCCGTGCCTTGGTCGCAGAAGAAATCGTTGTCGCGCTCGGCGTGCGCCCGGAGCATGGCGTCCCGTATCGGCACGCTGAACGTGGAAGGGAACCAGGCCTCGCCGGCGCTGTCGAAGGGCACCACCTGTCCCTCCGACACGAGGATCTGCTTCTGGTCAGGGTACCAGAACAAGAGCAGCAAGTCTGCCGTGCGCCACCTGTCGATGATGGACGTACCGTTCATGATCGCCTCCTCACCCAACACCTGGTTCTCCACCCTCAGCTTGATCAGGTCGCGGACCGGAAGTGTGACATTCACCACCACACCCATCACTCCAAGGTGAAGCCGGGTGCTCCGCAGCAGGTCACCCGTCGCCACCACGACCTCTCCCCTGCCGTCGACGAGGGTCATCGCCGTGGCCTGGTCGGACAGGCTGCTGGGATGGACGAACGTGGAGCTGTGGCCGCCTGTGCCCATCACGCCACCCACTGTGAGCTCCGAAAACTGCGGTATGGAGAGCATCGTCAGTCCCTCGGCCTCCAACGCTGTCAATACCTCTCCCAGCTGCGCGCCAGCGCCCATTGTGGCACTCTTTCTGTCGGCCGCGACCTCCACTCCGGTGAAGGCCCCCATGTCCACCGCCACGTCATTATCGCCACCGGTGCAGATCACGTCGTGGACCGAGTGGCGGTTGCCCAGGGCTCGGACGCGCCGCCCCGCCGCTCGCGCATCTCTCACTATCCGCTGGACCTCCTCCACGCTCGTTGGTTTCAGAACGTCTCCGTAGGTGCACTCCACGGGGCCCCAAGCGCTGGACAGGTGCTGCTCGCCACCCTCGGCGTTGACGCATGGGATACGGATGCCCCCAAGGGTCAGCAGACACACGGCAACGGCCGTCATCCACATGTTGGGGGCCATGTGCAGGACGCGATCAACAACGATTTGGAACCACAGGCGCAGTATCTTGTTTCCCAGCTGGTCACACGTGTATGACACGCCTATGTTTACCAGTGTGTGACCCACGTGTGTGTGCAGGTGCTTGAATGATAGGACCTGATATTTTCAAGTTGAGGGATATATCCGCAGCGCACCAGTATAAAGGGGCGCGGCACGCCGCGTGTGCGATGCCGCACGTCCCGAGAGTGTAGGTTTGAGGTTTAGGGGACCGCTCGGGACGCCGTATACCCGTCCCGAGACCGAAAATTCCGCAGTGTACATTAGGAAGGGGCACCAGTTCGTTTATGTGCGCATTGATGGGCATCAAGGGCAGTCGTTGTTTACACTTGATACGTATCAAGTGTTTTGCCTGTGTATAGGAACCAGCATTGGGTTCAACGCTGTGCATTGAAATGAAACGCAGGGCACTGTAAGCAGACACAGGGCCCCAGAAAAACCGCGTTTGCGTTGGCCACTCCGGCGCCTGCAGCCACTCTACACAAGTGTCCCATATCCATCATTTCTGGGCATCAGAGTTTTGAGCGTTGAAGTTAAGTACGCTCAGAACATCGGTGCCTACACGTTAGGTATAGCCATTCCAGACCTTCACGTTTGTATTGTAGGTTACTCTCCATACGCTTATACCTGGAGCAATCTGCGTCAGAAAGGCCTCACACGGTACCGCTCAATGGAGCTTTGGGAAATCACGCGACGGCATGTTGAGAGGTTGGCCATGAAGATGATGCCGATCATTGAACACACCCTCTAGCAGACATCGAAATACGCAATGCCAGAGGTGGATTTATTTCCTTGGTATAAGTCACAAAAAGCTGAGCAGACGACGATCTTGGCCGCGAAAATTGTAACGCACGCCAATGACGGGATAATTCAACTATCTTGGTCACTGTGCGAGTTAGGCAGTAAACGGATCGCCGATGCGTTCAACAGCCAAGTCCCCTGTGTCGTTTCAAGTCAATCATTGAATGCGAACCCTTTCCAAAACATGTAAAAATTCATGCATGCTCACCCAATCGTTACTGCATAGTTCGTTACCATTTTAATACGATAAATGCACTATTTAACATCATGTTTACGCGATTTGGCACGTTTAACACGATACATAATAACCCAAACAGTGTATTTAACCTGTGTTTTACTACTGGTGGAGGTCAGCTGGCATCCTCAAGGGGCCACCAGCTTCAGAACGAGCGAGAAACACCATTATCGAGGTGCTAACTGCTACGCTATTGCGACACTATGCGCCCCATCACAGAGATTGCGACGGCACAAAGCGGCTGCGATGGCATCAATTAGCATCAAATGGCATTGCAATTGGCGTGGCGAAAATGGCGCTTTCTATTGGTGCAGGAGAGGGTGGCCACGGCTCCTCGAATACGCCCTTCAGAACCTTCCAATCCCCTTCAGAATGGTTGTCTATTGCGCCAGAAAAGTGAGAATTCTCGTTAAGTGCCTCATCGTCCTGGCATGTGTCCTGGCCGTTCAGGAGAGAGTCTGGGGCAAATGCAAAGTGCACGAGGAGAGGCCAGT